CACAAAACCCATCATTAAAGTGGTCAGAAAGTGGTGTTATCCTGGATCCTTTTACTTTTGGGATTTTAGCGAAAATGCATTTGTGATATTACCATAATTGTGCATTTACTCTAGTGTGAAAGTCAAATCCGGTTTATTCACACAATAATCCTCCTTTCACTCATTTTTCCGTTTTTCCCATGCACCCTCTCAAATGCCTCATACCTTGTAATTAACTACAGCAGGGGCCGGCAACCTACGGCCCCTGGGCCGGTTCCGGCCCAGGTCGCCGGACTTACCGGCCCAGGCAGACCCCTGCCGCCGCCACTGCCGCCGCGCGCCGCCGCAAGAGGCATCCATAAGCAGTTAAAGTGGAATAATAGTGCTATAACAGTGTAGTGTAATATGATATTGTCCTAAAAAAATACACTGTCTGTGAACCTGAACTAGCATTGGAAGCACCCTGGATGCAAAACCTATTGACCTGGGTCAAAACTGAGCAAGACCCTCCAGTCCACAGCCATAGGATTTCTTTCCAATAGAACTGAGCCAAAGCCACCTCTGAGTAGTCCTTGCCTAAGAAAACCCATTGAAATTTACAGGGTGGACATAAGTGACTTGAAGACATATACACACACAACAACTGGTCCTTCCAGATGTTCTAGACTGCAACTCCCATCACCAGGGTGACCAGATGTCATAACTGCAGAAGAGGACAAGACACTGCAAAATGTTGGACCTTCAAGAAAAATGGAGAACGTGACCAAAGAAAAGCTAAAAACACTTCTGTAAATACAAATCCATGCTTCTTAGTCATGCCCAGAATGGAGGTTGGAGTTCCTCCTAGACAGAAGGCTGAAAATGGAGGACATGCCCTGGAAAAGAAGGACCGATGGCCACCCTGGTCATGCTCAGCATGGAGGACCTTCTGGAATTCCTCCTGGGCAGAAGGATACAATGGAGGACATGCCCTGGAAAAGGAGGCATGTCGGGTCATTCTGGGTCTTCATAGCCACCCTGTGGCCTCTGAA